TAAAGAGCACAAATAAATGACCTAACACTGCAACTCAAGACACTGGAAAGGCAAGAACAAATGAAACCCAAACCCAGCAGAAGAGAAGAAATAACAAAACTCAGAGCAGAAATTCATGAAATAGAAACAAAGAAAATTATACAAAGAATCAATGAATCTGAGAGCATGTTCTTTGAAAAGCTAAACAAGATAGACAGACCCCTAGTCCAGGTAACCAAACTCAAATTGACAAAAATCAGAGATGAAGGGGGAAACATCACAACAGACACCCGAAATATCCAGACCATTATAAGGGAATATTTTAAAAACCTATATGCTACTAAATTTGAAAATCTAATGGAAATGGACGGATATCTCAAATCATGGGAACCACCAAAGTTAAACCAAGAAGAGATCAATAGTTTAAGCAGACCCATAACACAAACGGAAATTGAAACAGTAATACAAAGACTCCCAACTTAAAAAAAAAAAAAAAAAATCCCAGGCCGAGATAGATTTACAGCAGAATTCTACCAGACATTTAAAGAAGTCCTCCAACCAATACTACTTAAATTACTCAGAACAATAAAAACAGAGGGAGAACTCTTGAATTCCTTCTAGGAAGCCAGCATCACTCTAATGCCCAAACCAGGTAAAGGCACAACCAAAAAAGAAAACTATAGACCCATATGTTAATGAACATAGATGCAAAAATTATCAAAAAAATACTTGCAAACCGCATACAGGCACACATCAAAAAGATCATTTGCCATGATCAAGTACGCTTTATCACAGAGATGCAGGGACGGTTCAATATACGCAAGTCAATAAATGTCATTAATTATACAAATGGACTCAAAGACAAAAACCACATTGCCATCTCAATAGATGCAGAAAAGGATTTTGACAAAATTCACCATGCATTTATGTTCAAAATCCTAGAAGGAATTGGACCGGAGGGAACATACCTCAACATAGTTAAAGCCATATACAACAAACCCACAGCCACCATCATTCTAAATGGAGAAAAACTGGAAGCATTCCCATTAAAATCAGGAACCAGACAAGGATGTCGACTATCTCCACTCCTTTTCATCATAGTGCTTGAAACTCTTGCTAGAGCAATAAGACAGGAGAAGGAAATTAAAGGAGTACTAATTGGAAAAGAGAAGGTCAAACTATCACTTTTTGCAGGTGATCTGATGCTATACATAAGAGATCCCAAAAGTTCCAGAAAACTTCTAGAACTGATCAATACTTTCAGTATAGTGGCAGGTTATAAAATCAGTCTACAAAAAGCAGTAGCCTGTCTATCAATAACAAGCAATTGGAGAAAGAATACAGGGAAATGCTCCCATTCACAACTGCTGCAAAAAAAATAAAATAAAATATCTTGGAATAAATGTGACCAAAGACACCAAAGATCTCTACAATGAAATTTTTAAATCATTAAAGAAAGAGATTGAGGAAGACACCAGAAGATGGATGGACCTCTCATGTTCATGGATTAGGATAATTAATATTGTGAAAATGACCATCCTACTAGAGCAATATATAGATTCAATGCAATCCCAATGAAAATCCCTGTGAAATGCTTCACAGAATTAGAAAAAAACATCTTTAAATTCATATGGAAACACAAAAGACCCCAGATAGCCAAAGCAACCCTGAGCACAAAGAGCAACCCTGGGGGGATTACTATGCCAGAGCTCAAAGTATACTACAGATCTATAGTAATAAAAACAGCATGGTACGGGTACAAAATTAGACACATAGATCAATGGAACATCACTGAAGGTCCAAACCTGAGTACACGCAATTTCAGCCCCCTGATATTTGACAAAAATGCCAAGAATACACAAAGGAGGAAAGACAACATCTTCAACTAATGGTGCTGGCAAAACTGGATCTCCACCTGTAGAAGAATGAAACTAGATCCTTATCTTTCACCTTGCACAACAGTCAACTCCAAATGGATGAAAGAGCTCAATGTGAATAGGGTCTGTGTCCCTATTCTCCATTGGCAATTTGGGTAACCCCTTCAGAGGATTGCCTGATAAGAGTAGGAAGTAGGAATTGGCTAGGCAGTTAGGGTAAAAAGACCCCAAAGAAAAGTAGCCAGTTTCTTGGCTAAAACTCACAATATCCTTGGGCCTCTTGGCAACCTACTCCATTCCAAAGGCCAAATTTTTGAAATATTTGGGAGCTTTTATCTAATCCTTAAAAGATTTTAGGGTTACCTCTTCAGAGGGGGGGGGAATGTTAGAGTAGCCAAAAGCCCCATAAAAAAATAGATCAAAGAAGAAGAAAGAGTACATGAAGTTATCAGAAAAAAGTAATTAGGAGATATGGGAGGAGTTAGAGGGAAGGGAGTGTGCATGGATTTGATCAAAACACCTTATATGCATGTATGAAATTCTCAATCATTTATATAAAAAACAAAATAAGATAAAATGGCATGCTCTGACTTCACATGAATAAAAGTACCTTATAAACTTATAAATATAATGTCCTTATACACTCAAAAACTGTATATAAGAAAACATTGTATGACTGCAATGTCATGGATTTACATGAAGAAAGTAGCTTATAACTTTGCAATAAGTTATTCAGATAAATGAAGAAACCATGTATTAGAAACTTTTGCAAGGCTACTTGCACTGTGTCTTCTTGTGCTCAATGGAAGATGAGATAAAAATCCAGAAGTTCAGCTAAAGAGGAGAGTCAGTCACCTCTGTTCATGTAATTCCTAAATCGAAAACACAGGCCAAAAAGAGTTACTTCATTCTGACTTTCTAGTGGAGGAGAAGGAAACTTTCCTAGAAAATGATAATCATCCTCTGAAATGCTGCATTTTAAAATATACATCTTGTATTTTATTAAACATCATTTCATATCTCAAAGATAACTAAGTATCTACAAAGAGAAGACCGGGGAACAAACAAATCCTAATCAGAGTAAATTTGTCGCACAATCTCATGTAAAAATATGTTTTAATATCATTGTCTTGATTTCAAAAATCTTAAGGCAATTTTGAGGAAGAAAAACTATGATACAAAGTCTTCAAGGAATAGAGAGAGGCACCATGAACAGCATACAACAGACCAAATTCAATTGTGTGTACAGGAAAATATGTATATGTGTGAGGAAAGTAGCCAAATATACAATCATACACAGAGGAAAATGAATTTGAAAACGTTCTGCAAATATTCATGACAAAATTTATATCAATATCAGAAAGGAAACAAAATTTCCCTACTTGATAAAGAATATCAAAATCTTTAGAATATCACTCTCAGCTGGACATGGTGGCACATGCCTTAAGTTCCAGCATTCAGGAGGCAGAGGTAGGAGGATCTCTGTGAAACCAAGGAAAATCTGGTCTACATAGCAAGTTCCAGGCCAGTCAGGGATACAAGGAGACCCTGCCTCAAAAATAATCACTCTTAGTAGTGGGATACTAAACTTCCATAGCTTTTTGCAGAATATAGATGAAAAAAAATGTGCCCAAATCTATCCTGGAAGTCCTAGCCATTGCAATGATATGATTAGGAATGTAAGATAGGAACTAGGAAATGCACCTGAAAATTACAAATGAATCTAGTTCTTAGCAATGAGTAGTAACTTTGTCAAGGTTTCTAAGTATGAGGTCTTTATCACAGTGATAAAATCAAGTATATTTCCAAATATCAAGTACAAAGATATGACAAAGGCATTTTAAATTCAAGAACCAGAAATTTTCTTACTATTTAGGAAATAACTAACAATGTTTTGTACACAAGGAAGGCAATATGATGCTGTGGTTAGCCTTATGAACTCTGAAGCCAGTCTGCCCAAGTTTGAGTCTTGGCTCTACCATTTCCTAGCTGTGGTCCCTTAGGAAAGGTGTTTAGTTTCTATACTACACCTTCCTCATTGTGCAGGTGGTGATAATAGCAGTGCCTTCTTTGTAGGTTTATGAAGCATTGGCTGAAATACTTGCTCTCAAGTGCTAAGAACAGTGTCGAGGACGGGGTGGGGCTAGAGAGATGGCTCAGTGGCTAAGAGCACTGGCTGCACTTGCCAAGGACCCAGGTTCAGTTCCCAGCATCCACATTGGCAAACAACTGTCCATAACTCCAGTTTCAGGGGATGTGACGCCCTCTTCTGACCTTCGGGTGCATTGCATAATACATGTGCACTTGCACACAGGCAGGCAATATAAAAATAATAAATAAAATATTTCAAAAATAATTAAAGTAGCTTAAATTTTTTTTAAAAAAGAGAGGAAATTTAGAAGACTTATAATGCCACATTCCAAGATGTGTTATAAAGATTTGGAGGCCATTCCTGAAAAAAGAACCAAGTTCATTGGCTGCCAGACGTAGGATATCTGTACTTATCTTGTTCTGGCAGCAAGTTGGAATCAATCATGCTGAGATGTTAGGAACATCAAGAACACTGAAGTTCAGTGTAGAAGAAGGAAGCTTACCTTGGGAATAAGATAGTTTCTGAATTTAATGTCACAGGTCACTGAATGTGGCAAATTTGTGGGAAGGAGGTCAATGTATCTCTGGATCTCATGCAGTACAGCATCTGTGTAGGGCATGCTGCTCCTGTCCTGCATGCAGGGGCTCCGGTGTCTTCCGATCACATGGTCAATTTCTTCCTGGACTTTAGCTGGTAAGTCACCATGAGAAATGATGCAATAGGAGAGAAGTGGCTCGTTGGTCAACAATTCAGGGCTACACTGAGCACTGTGAAGGTGCCCAGCAGCATTATGAATACATAACATATGCTGATGAAATGACAATTGCTATGACACAGGAGCATAGTACCTACCATCCTACATGCTAGGTGTTGTAGTACAATAGCCCCTTATTAATTAGTGCATTTTAAATATCAATTGTTACTTTCAAATAATAAACAACACAATTTTGAGTCAAGAAAAACAGCTCATACAGAAGAAAACTATTGATCATTATATTACATTTGTACCCAAATAATACATTTAAAATGAAATTATAGTGTGTGTGTGTGTGTGCGTGTGCGTGTGCGTGTGTGTGTGTGTGTGTGTGTGTGTGTGTGTGTGTGTATGATTTCTAAGGGTACTTATTCCCCCTAATTTCCCAAACATGGCCACACTAAATAAACATCCCAAATTTCAATTTGCCTGAAATTTATATTCATATTTCTAGATAATGACTCTGTCTTTCTTATCCATTGTTAAAGAAATTAAATTATACCTTTGCATGTGGAAAGGAGGATTTTCATATTTTATATATGCATTAAATATAAACAATGACTAGCAGATATGTCCACATTTACCCTCAGTCCAATTCTCACATGATAGTCTGGGTTACATCTTTGTGACCACATGAGAACTGCCCTCTAGCAAGAAAAGTATGATTATTTTTCATGACCGATACAATTTTGGATTTATTACTGTTTCTCTTTACAAGTTCACATTTTCCCATTTCACTAGAATTATTTTTAAATATTCGAGGAGATAGTCCAATGACCTAAGAATACATGTCCAGTTAGGGGGCTGTCTCAGAATACTGAGCACTTGTCATTCATCAGTGGTTTGCCCCTCGTACCTGAATCATCCACCGGTCCATTCTGAATTGAATGTTTTCTAGTCCTGGTGCCCAGAAACTTCCCTGACACTTCATCCCTCCCACAAGTTCTTTGGGTTCCTGTGGCCCATGATTTCTTCTGACTTGGTATCAGACATCTGAATAGAGTACATTCCCCAGTATTTTGAAGAAAGGGAAAATGATAAACTTTATGGCAAATGTGGAAGGCTGAAAATATTCTTCTTTTATGAGAAGGGAGAATAATAGTATCTCTTGAGAATTCTAGTGCAGTTCAAGTACTGATGAATTATGACTTGATTGGTCTATCTCTCTGAAAGTTTTTGAATTTTCTCCTCAGTCTTGGTAATCTGAATTTGAAAGACCCAATATCTTGGGACCATTATTTAGTTTTATTCAGTCCAAGAGACACTTGGTCAAATTTTTCTCTTACTGTGGTAACACCTGGAAGCACGTACTCCACAGTTATTCACTCTAAGAAGGATACATATGGCTGTTGAAATTGAGGGACCACGGAGGAAAAAGGAGATGTGTCAGAGTTCAAGGGTGGAAATTATCAGCTTTCATGTCACATCCCGTGAAACGCAGACACTGAAGCAGAGCTTTATTGACTTTCTCTGCCATGCCATCTTCCTCCTCAACTACAGGAAAAGACATCTCACTTCAGTTCTGTCATTAAATAGGAATAGATTGTAGCCAGTGGTTCAGAAGGTAAAATTCTGAGGCTTCTCTGAGACAAACGAAATGAACTCTAGGGGCATCCTCCAACTCTTTTCTGACATTCCCATGCCTTTCAGATGCGATCCTACCTGTGACATGCGGGTGCTTCAGCAGGAGCAGTAGCGAGTACCTCAGGGTTGTACTGGTAGTCTCTGTCCCAGCCGCAAACAAATCGGATGCAGTGAATACAAAGTTTTCATAAGTAAACTCCTTCTTTGGATTGTGCTTTTCCTACAAAAGGTTTGATGTTATTTTCTGACAAGTTGTTTGAAATATAATTACAGAGAATCTAAAAATAACTTACTGTGTGTCAAGTTTAACCTAATCAGAACCTGAAGAGTCCAACATTAGAAGAAACTAATGTGTAGTTTTAGAACACCTGTAGATCCACTGACCCAGTCTTCACTTTTAACATCCAATTTCATGCCTGCCTAAAATTTCCTTTCATGAGACTCTTACAGCATATTTCTTGCCCAAAGACATGAACAAAAGCCTACTGCTGCCCCATTTACTATTTTCTCTTTTATATTCAAAACACACGTAAGAAGGAGAAGATACAGCAGGTAGCATGTGATATCAATATTAGTCATGAACATGAAGGTCTCAATTGTTAATACAGTAAAGAAAAATTTAGGCCCTGGACTCTCGAGGGGGAAGTACACTGCTGGCATAAGAATAGAAAGTCCAAGTCCATGGCAGCATAAGGACACAGTTCAACAGAGCAGAACTGGGAGTTCACAAATAAACCCTTACGTTTATTGATATTTTCACAATGGTGCCATAGAACTTCACTGGGAATAAGTGGCCTTTTAACAAATGGTACTGAGACAGGAGTTTATTCAATAGGTGCCTGACAGACACCAATCTTAAAATCTGTCTATGCCCATTCACTTGAAGGTATTCTCCTCTATGTCCCAGCCATTCATTCTCCACACCATAACAATTCACTATATGCACCATAGCCATTCTCTATACATCCTACCTGCACCTTACAGTTCTCAGATTTGCTCAAATGGATCTGGAATAGACCTGCAAGCCATCTCCCCTGAAGGCTAGCTCTCATAGATATAAAGAGCACTACACAAACTGGTAAGAGAGAACATTAATCCATGGTCCCACCCCAGGTTCTAAGAGCTAAAAACCACATCAATGACTGGCACATCAAAGGACATTGGTGCAGTAGTGGCACTTTTATCCTGAGGGTAATCAACAGCCACCTAATTGGACTTAAAGCACACTTAATGGGAGAAAATTCATGTGTGGTACTGTAAACCTAGCCAAATACACATAGCTGGAGAGGTCATAGATCTTAGAGAAAACTGCAAGGCTGTCACATCCCTAGACAAATGCAATTTCTTATTATGTGCAAAATATGGATCCTTATATTTACATACAAATATCCCAGTCATCACCCATCGAAGAAGCTTCTTTTTTTCTCAACAGAGATTATTAGAGTTCCACAACTGGTCACACACAGAGATTGTGAATTGCCCAAGCCTAAGTGGCCCATCTAGGATGCAACCTCTAATCCTAAGGTTCAGGGAATATAGAACAAGGGATAAACAGAACATTAATGCATCTTTCAAGTCTCATCAATGAAGGTCCCTCATGCAACAGAGGCCCAGGAACATAAAAGGTCACAAATGGCTAAAACATAGAGAATAAGAGTCTACAGAGTGTGGGTCCTTGGATGGGACTCCTATATTAAACTCCATCCACTAAGAGCTCAGAGACCACTGCAGAAGGCGGGGAAGAAAGATTCTAAAAGCCAGGGAGAGGTATGTGACCATATGGAAATAGAGTCCTACAGGTTCCTGGGACCCTTACATGAACCTACAGCAATGGTGTCAGCATGCACAAGCAGACAAAAACCCAGCACAGAACTGTGGAAATGAGCAGCAAGTCCCAATCTTAGTCAAAGAATTGTTGGCAGCTGAGCACTGCTGGGTGAGGAAGAGCTAATTAATCGTCTTAAAGGGAGGGACTCTAGATAGGCTGACCAGTGGATGAACTTGCACTAAAGGACATCTGGGGACACCAACTTGACATGATAAGCCTTAACACAAATGACAGACTGTATGAATTCCGGACCATGGGTGGGTGCCAAAGGGGAAGGGGAGTTAATGTTGATTAAATGTTCTGTATGAAATACACAAAAATTCAATTAGAAATTCATAGCCTAGCAAATTGAAAGCCCAGTGCCAAAAAAAATAATTTTCTCACCTGTGCACTAATGCAAATATTTTAAGATTTAATTCAATCCACAGACATAGTAGGAAGTCTCACTGACTTATGGTATTCTTCCATGTTCCTATACACATGACATCCACATTCACATTACAGCATGATATTTTATGTTTTGTGAGTCTTTTGAAACTATTTCCACCTTGCCTACTCTGTGCATTCTGCATGTTTTCAACTATATCACCTTTTATCTAAAAAATATGGTCAGCCAGGTGTGGTGGCCCACACCTTTAATCCCAGCACTCAGGAGGCAGAGGCAGGTGGTCTCTGTGAGTTTGGGATCAGCCTGGTCTACATAGCAAATGCCAGGCCAGCTGGGGCTACAGAGAGTCCCTGTTTCCAAAAGACCAAAAAAAAAATATGGTCAATGTATTATAATTAATTAATTATTTAACTTCATATTGTCTGGGATGCTAAGTGAAAATTCATGTGCTGCACATAGTAGACTCTCAAAGTTCTGCTCCAATATTATTGGTCTGACTATTTAAACAACCTTGTAAAAACAGACAATGCTTGGAACCAAAATTCGTTCGGAAATCAAATATCTGAATTGAAGTTATATTATGATTCATGTGTTCCAGGGGGCTGGAGAGATGGCTCAGTGGTTAAGAACATTGTCTGCTCTTGTAGAGGACCCAGGTTCAATTCCCAGCACCCACATGGTGGCTAACAACCATCTGGAACTCCAGTTCCAGGGGATTCAACACTCTCTTCTGACCTCCATGGGCACTGCACAACACAGGTGCACTTACATACATGCAGGCAATGCACTCATACACATAAAATAAAAATAACAAAAAAATTTTTTTTTAATTTACCTGCTCCATTTCAATCAAGAAACAGTCAATAAAATCCCGAGGATTGTTAATATCCAATGATTCTTCATGTTTTTTTACTTTTGATAAACAATAATGTTTTAAAAAGGTGAAATTTTTAAGTAATTTATTATGACTCCCTGGTAGATAATCAATAATAGCAGGGAAATTATTGCAGACCTAAAAAAGAAAATCATAAATTATTGTAAAACATAAAATGCAGATTTGTGTGCCATACAGTGGATATTGGCCAGAAAGCACAGCTACAACTATGAATAATATATGATGAATATAAATATATGTTCATATATACTGTGCATTTTGATGGATGATTTTTATGGTATGCCATAGCAAATCTCATTGCCTATAGAAAGGTCTATGGGAGAACATCATGAACAGATGGTCAGACTGGATAATCACTTCCCTTTTTATTCATTTATTTTTATTTTTATATGTATGAGTGTTTTTCCCATATATGTACACCCATGTGTACAATGCCTACAGAGGCCAGAGGACATCAGATACCCTGGAACTGGAGTTACTGATGGTTGTTAGCCACCATGTGGGTGTTGGGAACTGAACCTGGGTCCTCTGCTAGGACAGTAAGTGCTCTTAACCACTGAGTCATCTCTCCAGCCTCAATAATCACTTCTTAAACTCTTGCATGATCTTTATTCCTTATGTGAATTGTATATCAGTTCACTAATTTTCTAAATTATTTACTGCAACCTTGGATTACAAAATGGCATAAATTAATATTATTCACAGTTTTCAGACTGCAGCAAAGATGAAGGGATTTGGGTATCCTGATTTGAAGTGCAAACGTAGTCCCTGCTACTTTTATTTATACAACCAGTCTTAGACATAGAATGGGGGTTTTAGAAGTGGGTATCTCAAGGATTCCTGAAACATAACTGTACCAGATAATTTGCATAATTACTCCAGATCATACAAATGTCATTTAGGCAAACTGAAAATCATGACAACTACAAAGGGGAAAAAGTTCAGGGCTCCAGATACCACTAAACCAATCTTTTGTCATTCCTATCCCAGTTACATTGCCACTTAGGATGTCAACTGCATCAAGTATCACTACCATACTCCATGATTCCTGGAAGTTTCGATGATCCCAAATATTCTTTCTCTAAGAAAGCATTTGAATTTTGATATTTAAGAGGTTGCTACAGTATTGACTGGAGTATGAGTCTTGTGGCTAGTGGAAGATTTCAATAATGAAATGGATGTCCAATGAGCTATGTGGGCATTGCTGAATATGACCATAATGATTCATATAAAGAATTATCTGGGTTTAATGGTAAGTCAATGGAGACCTAAGAGAATTAACCAGCTTATTATTTAGCTGTCTTCTGTTTTTCTTTTTTCCCTGTAGCATTAGCTGGAGGAGATCTTCCAGCCTCTGCCTCCCAGCACCTGGGACTAAAGGTGTACGCCAACACACCTATTTCTTAAATGATCACCAATGATCAGGTTAGGTCCACTGTGGTGTCTGCTTTCAGTTCATCACATGTTCTTAAAGAATTTGGGAAATTTCAAGGGACAAGAGTCTTCAAGGGTTTTCTCAGCAGAAAAAGATTTTCACACCTGCATCCAAGGGGAACTCATTATCTTGACACATGTTCTTAAAGAATTTGGGAAATTTCAAGGGACAAGAGTCTTCAAGGATTTTCTCAGCAGAAAAAGATTTTCTCACCTGCATCCAAGGGGAACTCATTATCTTGCCATTTTCATTTAGATTTTCCATCAGGTTAAGAAATTCCTGATCTTTATAATCAAAACGATTCTGGAAAATAATGGAGCAGATCACATTGCAAGGAGCACAGCCCAGGATGAAAGTGGGATCACAGGGCAAGCCTGAAGGGGTGGAAACAATTTCAAAATCTCAATAAAATATACATGTGAAATACTTTGTTCATTGACAAGTAAAGAAACCAAAGACAATTTGATCAATGTCTTTCCCACACATCACTTAGTAGTTATTGTTTCTTGTGCACTAAATCGACATACTAATTTGTCTTAAATCTGAGTTCACTATTGCATTCTCACTAGCTAGCTAAATAGTGAATTTGAGTACACTCAGTTTTCATCTGGTTTCGTCTTACCCCAGCTAAACTGCTGCTTTGGAAGGAAAAAAAAGACTTTTGGAAACTTCAGTAATTCAGAGGAGAATCCCAGCTGTCTGAAAAGCCTCTAGACAATACAGTACTAAGTAAGAAAAAATGGAGGGAATCTAGAAATTTGTATATATAACAGTTGAATTAATCTTGTCTTTAACCAATATAGTACAAATAAAGAGAAAGACTGCAGTAAGTTCATGTATTGAAAAAAACTAATGTGAAAAGGAAAACACATACATGTTATTTGAGATGAAAAGCATTAAATAGATGTGTTTCTTTGAATAAATATAAGACAAAAACTTTTATCTCAATGATACATTCAAGAGAATGCCACATCATTTAAACACTGCAGCATTCTGACTGATCAGAAGACATTTTATTTTCTCAAATTTTTTATTGAATTTTTTGTATTTCATACAGAACATCTCAAACAATCTTAGTCATCTTTATATCCCCATCCTCACCATCACCCTCCCATAGCCCCCTCCCCATTGGAATCCATATACTCTGTCATCCATGTTGAGGCCCATTGTGACAAATCAGTATCCCCAGATGTTCCCCAGTGGAAGTCTAGTCAGCCTATCTAGAGTCCCTTGTTTTAGGAAGATCAGGTCTTCCTCACGTAGCAGTAATCAGTTGCCAATATTTCTTCAGCTAAGATCGGGGTCTGCTGTTCATTTCCCCAGTTCTGTGTTGGATATTTTGTCTGCCTGAGGTTGCATGGGACTTGTGTATGCTGACACCATTGCCATAGAATCATATGAGCAGAGACCCAGGAGCTTGTAGGACTCTCTTTCCATATGGTCATGTACCTCCTCCCTGGCTCATACAATCTTTCCATCCCCTCTTTCCTGATGGTCACTGAGCCCTGGGTGGGTGAAGTTTAATATAGGAGTCCAGTCCAAGGACGAGCATTGTGCAGACTCTTAATCTCTATGCTTTGGTTATTTGTGACCTCTTGTGTTACTGGCTCTCTGCTACGTGAAGGAGCTTCATTAATGAGAATTGAGAGATTCATTAGTACCCTCTTCTTTACGCTTGTTCTATGTTCTCTGAGCCTTAGGTGTAGAGGTTGCATTGTAGGTGTGTCACTTAGGCCTGGGCAATTTATAGACAATGTCTGTGTGTGACCATTTGTGGTACTTGGTAATAGTCTCCAACTGGTACAAAACAAGCTTCTTTGATGAGTGGTGATTGGGATATTTTTCTGTAATTTCAAAAGGATACATACTTTGCACAGAGTAAGAAATTACATTAGTCTAGGGATGTGACAGTCTTGGGGTTTTAGAAGGCATTTTATTATATCAAAGAAGGTAGAGATTAATTTAGGAAGTAGTAATATGTGTAGAGGAGTGTATGAGTGGGTGGGTGTGAGTGTGGGAGTGGACAAGTATGTGATTCAGTGGAGAGACCTAGTATTATTAAAATTTATTTTCACTTAATTTGGAAGACAGCATTTTAAAACAGTTATTTGAAATCTGAGCTGATAATCAACTTCATTATTTATTTCAAAGGTTAGCAGATTTGGCACTAAGAAGAGAAAAATATTGCCATAAATTTGCAACTCCAAATATATAAAAATAGAAAGAGAAACAAAATGAAGATGGAGCCAATAGTGAGAGCTACTTAGGTACATCATTTGAAAATGAATATTTATTTGCAGATTTCTGTGATAGCATATATTTTTCAAATATATGTCAGCATAGTATTAGAAAATAAGACACAACTGATTCTCTGATCATTCTTGTATCAATCATGCTATATTTACAGAACATAAATTGATTTGTATTAAGATGTAATCAGGCAAAAAAAAAAAAATTACAGAACAGCTTCCTGAGGCCAGCAGCTTTCCTGGGTAAGTTTGGTGGCACCTACTGCACCTTGACTCCCCCAGCCTTATTCACCCTCCCAGCTCCAGCACCCCATCTCTTCTCCTAGCAGGGACAGTGGCACATTTCTTAAAATGGCACCCCAAAACTCTGGACTGACCTCTTGGCCCAGACTCCCCACTGCTTCCTGATTCTTTGTATCCAGACTAACCCAATTCCTTCCTCTAGTCCCCAGGAGTCCCTCAGGGCCTCTTCCCTTCCCCACCTCTCTTTGCATCTCTGGGCAGCACATCCCCCCAGCTTCCCTGGGTATCCAGTCCTTAGGAGAAAGCCTGAGAGCATCTGAGCCTCATCTGACTTGGGCCTCTGTGGGAATTCCTGAGCAGAAATATGAAATCAATTTGGGCCCTCCAATATAAAATCAAAAGAGAGAACCTGAAGCATAGACCAACCAGCTTTTCATGCCCAACAAGTAAACCACAAAGGCACACAAAGTTTACAAAAAGAGGCAGATCTTGGGGGCTGGAGAGATGGCTCAGCAGTTAAGGGCACTGACTACTCTTGCAGAGGACCCGGGTTCAAATCCCAGCACCCACAAGGTGGCAATGAATTGTCTTTAACTCTAGTTCCAGGGGAATCTGAAGCCCTCTTCTAACCACTGTGGCATTGCATGACATGGGTGCACTCACATACATGTAAGCAATACATTCATATACATTAAATAAAAATAATTTTTTAAAAATAGAAGCAGATCTAAACTCAACATAGGAAGGCTTGGGACTCACACAAGAATCAGAAACTACAAATGAAATTCACATGTCAAAGTCACAGCAAAAAAATAACATAAAAAAATCCCAAATAATATATCCCCACCAAGCACCAACAGTCCTGTATAGGAGAACAATGAGAACACCCTAGACATAACACAGGACATGGAATTAAAAGAACAATTATTAACATGATAAAAGAATTCAGTGAATTTAAAGAACACATGAAAAAAGAAATCAAAGAACTGAAGGAAAATAGGGATAAACTGCTGAATGAATTCAGAAAGAGTTAGAAATATTGAAGAAGAATCAGGAGCCTGATAGGGTGGGTTCGGACCTCCTCATTTGGAGTAGATGCTGGGAGCTCAGCAGAACACCAGAATGTGCTGGGTTCTGGCCTCTCTCTGGCCTCCAACTACCAGACTGCCTGATAACCCCAGGGGACAACCTGACAGCCCCCAATCCTGCCTCCACATAATTCAGAAAGAGTTAGAAATATTGAAGAAGAATCAGGAGCCTGATAGGGTGGGTTCGGACCTCCTCATTTGGAGTAGATGCTGGGAGCTCAGCAGAACACCAGAATGTGCTGGGTTCTGGCCTCTCTCTGGCCTCCAACTACCAGATTGCCTGATAAACCCAGGGGACAACCTGACAGCCCCCAATCCTGCTTCCACATGGTGGTGAGCTTCCTCTAATTGCGCCATACCATCCCCCTACCTGGGACATGGTGAGGCCCCTCCCAAGACCCCAGGGAAGATCTGGCTTTGGAAGGCTAAGGCAAAGACCCTAGCAGACAGCTGAGAGGGCTGGTTTGGACCTCCATCAGGGTATCATCTGGGAGCTCAACAAACTGCCAGAATGTGCTAGGCTCTGGCCTCCCTCTGGGCTCCAACTACCAGAGGGACTGAGAAGCCAGGGGACACCCTGACAGTCCCCCTGATCCTGCCTCCACGTGGTGGTGAGCTTCCCTTAATTGGGCCGTACCATCCCCCTACCTGGGATTTTGTGAGGCCCCTCCTAAGGCCCCAGGGAAGACCCGCCTTTGGAAGAGTAAGGCTCTGATCTCAGCAGACCACCAGAGAGTGCCAGGTTCTGGCCCCCTTCTAGCCTCCCTCTGAATAGGGTTGACAATGCATAGGACTGCCTGAGAGAGCCTGGATCCTGCCTCCACATGGTGAAGGAAGCCTGAGTGTACCTGACTGGAACCTGCTCTGGGATTCTGTGGGTACCCCTGAATAGCTGATCTGAAGCCATCAGTTCCCACCAAATTAAATCTGAGAGAATCTGAACTCTGTACAAACCAGCTTTACATAACCAACAAAGAAAGGGTATAGGCACCTGGATAATACAAACAGAAGCATACTTCAACTTAATTCTCATATCAGAATCATAAACAACAAAAGAAATT